GTATTTGCAGCAATAAAGGTATTTCCCCACTTTTGAGATAAGTAAAGCAGAACTTTATCTTATATTGTCACTATGATTTATCAATTTTAACAAACACATGATGTAAGGAGACAAAAAAAAAAAGAAAAAATGAAAATAAGATCTGAACACTCTGTGTCTGGCTCATTTTGAATCCAGGGGTGTCCAGGTGAATGTTCTTTAGTAGCACTGGTTTTACTAGTCAAACTGGGCTAATGGGCCAAACGTGGCTCATGAACACCTCTGGTATAACTCACTTAACAGGTAAAAATGAAAGTGCGACCACATGTCCCTCTTTAAACAGGACATTTTCATCCCCCATGTTTTTTCTTTTAAGTCTAAATATAATAACAACAACAATATAATTGCAATGCACATTTCTAAAAATCTCAGGAAAAAAATTTCCACAATTGTATGTATATCTTTAAAAAGGTCATTAACATACATACACAAGAAAGGGAAAATAAAACACCTGAAACCAAAAACCAAAATAAACAAATAAAAACGGGGATCTCTGGATGCTCCACAGACTAAATAGCATTTAAACCAGCTAAATAACAGAGTACCTTAGACTCCATCTAAAAGAAGCAAGGTAAATTTTAATGCAAAAACATTAGCCGCACAGCTCATCCGTGTTTACTTTTTAGACTAAATATATCAAAATAAAAACCACAGTCTGTGCACTATATTTTGTTTGATGAGTTTCTTTTCATGGGGACTAAGTACAATAAGTTTTTGCTAACAAAATAATAACATAAAGAAGTCTATTTAAATGTCTAAACACTGCTGACTGCACTAGCAAGTCACAAATAATTACTACACATGATATTACAGCCACTTCTGAAGCGATGTGTGTGCAAAGCAGGAGTCTCTCACCTGTCTGTCGTGTAAGACACAGATCTTCAGTGCTTTCTACTTCCAGGATGCTGAAATTAGGGTCCCCTCCACATATTCTGAGGAAGTGAGGAACAGAAATCGGGTGGTAACTTTATTTTAAAAATCAAAAAAGCAGTTTAAACTCACTATTAGGAACTCTACTGCTGAAACTGACTGGTCTTACAACTCCAACAGCTATAAAAAAAATGAGCTGTGGCAGAAGCTTCAGTTGGTAAACAGAGATATATGAATGTGTGGGATGATGAGTAACATGTCACGTAAGGAGCGGACAGCTAGGCTAGCAAACTCCTGCTAGGACTGTGGTGTGTGTGCAGCGGTAATAAAAAAAAAAAACACACAAAAAAAAAAACACAAAAAAAACCCCAATGTCCAAAACAGTAGTACAGACTGTTGTTACAAAGGCATCTGTGCACAGTTGCTGGTAATGGTGGCCTTTTTTTTTTATTTCGGTGAGAAATGGTGTACGGCACTGTGAAGAACTGAGATGGTACCGATTTGGTTACACTTTACCAGTAAAGTTTCCCCCTTTATTTATTCCATTATATCTATAATGACTTTACAGAAATATTTTGGAATCCTTGCATTTTTATCCTCCTGATGATTTTGGC